TATTACTATGCTCAATCATTTGTTAACCATCACAATGAATATGTTTTCTGAGGCATTTCTTTGCTTACATTAGCTGATTTGCAAAAAGCATATGAGGTGGTTTAACTAAGTGTGGCCAAACTGTATGTATAAAGTAAATAATAAAAATATCCAAATCTATTTAGTCCTTGATAGTTCTCAAAGCTTTCCACACCCATTGTCATATTTGGACTTCATAATAGCCCTCTGGAGTAGCTAGAGATGATATCATTGCAGCTGGAAATGAATACAATATTGAGATGGGACATTTCAACCAATTGGTAGTACAATTTTCTCCTATTTCTGTGATGCAAATGTGAAAAAAAAAAGCAAGATGAATGCCAAGAAATAGCATGTGATTGGGAATGTTGTTCATTGCTTTTTTCAGTAAACCACAGAAAGATAACAAAGGCTACTGCGCCGAGTACAGAGGGGACATGTGTAATGCAGTCCTGGCAAAAGATGCTCTTGTTTTTTTCAACGCCTCCTACGCAGACCCTGAGGAGGCCCAAGAGCTACTGGTCCACAGTGCCTGGAATGAACTGAAAGCAGCGAGCCCATTCTGCCGGCCAGCTGCTGAGGCTTTGCTGTGTCACCACGTCTTCCAAGAGTGCAACCCTGGAGTAGCACCTACTCCTACCCCCATTTGCAGGTAAAATTTCAAAAATAAGTAAGTGGGGAAATTCCATTTTTCTGCCTTCAAACAGGAAGAGTTTTCCAAAAAGGAATTGGTCATGTGCAAAGGTAAAAGCTGGCTTTCGTCTAAAATAGGAACTAATTAATTGAACAAAATTCCTGCCACGTAAATCACTGATGATAACCTCTACTACAAAGGCTATGAACTTCTCGAAAATGTCATAAACAATATAATATTGCTTTATTCATTACTATTCACATTGTTATCATATTTTTAAATATCTCTGCTTTCTGTCAAATAAAAAGAGAAATCCTAAACTAACATGGATATCATTAGTAAGCCAAGATAGAGAAAATAAAGACTACAGTTCAAGTGTTTCAGCATTCATAAATGAGACCATGAGGAGCATTTCAGAATATTATTTTAAAGTAGATACATATCATCCTATATTCTAAATTTGGGCAGGTTATAATAGATATTTCTTTAAAACTCCCATACTCTTTAAACATTGAAATGTATAAATCCATGTCCAATAAAATTATCTTTGCCTTTATTTACTTCTTATGTAGTAAAGACAGGAATCAATCTGTCTTTGAACAAAATAGAACTAAATTCATATACTGTTAGTTCTGCTTGCAGATATATGTGATCTCGACTAAACTTCAGTTTCCTTACTTGCACAATAGAGTTGAGGGGTTAAAGGATAAATTGCACCCATGGAATATGTCAGAAACTGGATAGATATCGTTCTTCCTAAATTTTCTTTTGAAGAAAGCACACGAAAACTACCAACATAGCACATTTCCTCTTCTATTTTGATAAAACCAGGACTATTTAAATATTGAATTAATTTTAGGTATTCTACTTAGCATAAAAAGACTACAGTAAGGTCATCAAAATAGAGTGCTCTATTCCTCAACTTACTGAAAAGTTTGAGAGTTTGGAGACGCTGAAAGAGTAATGTAATTTATTTCTTTACCTAAAAAGATTGTATTGTGATCAGGCAAGTCATCTAACAAATCTCTAGGGACTCCACTATTGAAGGAATAAGAAGGGGAAACAGTAGAGAAAAACTAAAGCTATTGCCAGAAAGAAAATGGGAAAAGAGTGGATGACAGAAAGTAAAGATTTGTCTTACTGGAAGTTAGGAAATACTGATTTTGGTTTCAGCTGCACTTGCAGTTATTTGAAGAAATAGTGCCTTTGTTTATTGCCACTTCTTTAGTTCAGATGTCTGTTTCCTGGGCTTCCTTATGGGATTTTCCAAAATTGTACATTGAGGTACTGCTCAGTAATGAAAATCCCTGCACTTGCAGTTATTTGAAGAAATAGTGCCTTTGTTTATTGCCACTTCTTTAGTTCAGATTTCTGTTTCCTGGGCTTCCTTATGGGATTTTCCAAAATTGTACATTGAGGTACTGCTCAGTAATGAAAATCTTTTAACTAGAAAGTAACACACTTACAATAAATGAAAAATAACCAGCAAAATAATGAGACAGCCCATTCTGTCAATCCTGTCCTCGGCACTACTGATGTAATCTGTGGTGGCCACTAGAATAGTTATCATGCTTATAGATTGACACAGGAGAATCAGCTCAATACTATGAACAGAAGTTTGAGAGGAATAATACTTAGATTAAAAATATGGGTTTTTTTGTGACAGCCATTGTGATTTCTGATTATAAAATCCACATGATGCCATCATATATTAAAAAAATAGAATATACCAATAAATCACAAGAAGAAAGTAAAAATCTTAAGTGTGCTCAACAATTCTATGTCTTTTTGTGAATTTTCTGTTTATAGCCTTCACCCATTTTCCCACTAGATTGCTCACTATTAGAATAAAATTGTAAGATTATAATCACTTAACCATTTACTTATCATATGTTTTGTAAGTTATGTTTCCCAAATACAAAGGGAACCCTTGATTTCATTTTGGGTGTTTTATATTTTTTAATTATGGACATTTTCATATGCATATAGAAGTGAAGATCATGGTACAACAAATTCCCATGTACCTATCCCCCAGTTTTAACAGTTATCAAATCAGCATAAATCTCATTTCATCCCTATCCACCCAGCCCCAGATTACTTATTCTGAAGCATATCATAGACATCATACTATCTCATCTATTAACATTTTGGTATCTGTCTCTAAAGGAGGAATAACTATTTCATGTAGGTTGTTTTTTGAGGCACAATTGTTAACTTTTTCTAGTCAGATCAATCAGTCTTTCTGTTTTTAGTTTCTGCCTTTGTCATTATGTTTTAAAACATGTGCCTAATCTTGTTATAAAGTTTTTCTTCTGATTTCAATTTAAGAAAAGTCATCTCTTTATTCTATAGAGTTAACCAGTTCCATTGTCACATATCAAAGTGTCTATCCTTTTGATTTAAAATAATGCATTTATCAGAACACTAATTAGTCATGCCTCAAGAGCTCCCTTTACAATATTATATATGCTAGGTTGTTCTTAAACAGCTGAATCATAGTGGGCTGATGACTATATGAAACTGAGTTCTTCCATCATGAGTTTCATACTTACCATCAGTTTTATGTAAAACTCCACTTAGCTCACCATAATTTTATAAGCTTTGGCATCATATCAGACTAAAATCTCATCAAAAAATGAAGTTTATTTTATAATATTTTCAATCTGCCCTAAGTTGCATAAATTCCAATAAACCAGTGATGAATATCAGAAATTATGTTTTATTCATATGATGCAATTAACAATTATGGACAGTATATAAAGATGAATGTATAAAATAATTAACAGATCGATTATTAAACTTTTTTCCCTTAATTGTAATATCCAAGTTGTTCTATTCATTATAATGGAATTAGTGATGCATATTTAAATTTTATCCATGAGCAACAATTTTTGAATCAATTGTATTTGTGGAGTGAGGATAGGGTGGCCAACTATCCATATTTGACCGGGATTTAGGAGTTCTTGGGATGCAGAACTTTCAATGCTGAAACCAAGACAGTTGGTCATTACTGAGGGATGTGTTTGTTTATATTTATTTAGATCCATTTTTCTGCCCTTTAAATTTTATTTCATTGATGATTTTTTTCTTTTTGTATTAGAAACATTTGGATTGAATTACTGTGTCTATAATTTATTTCACATTTTGTACTAGGTTTTCATCTTTTTAAAAAATTATTTACTTATTATGCAATCATTTTCAAATACAAAATTTAGAAAGATTTTTGTCAATGTCAACATGTAAATTTCATTTGAAATTTGATTAGAATGACACTAAGTTTATAGAATTAATTTAGGGAGAAATGCTATATGTACATTATTGAGTATTCTCATTCAGGAGTATGGTCTGTCATTCCTTTAATTCAGATTTTATTTTATGCCTGTTAGTAAAGTATGGTGATTTCTTTCAGATAAGTGTTTCTTTTTCTTATCGAGTTTACAACTAGGTGTGTTTTATGGTCGTTGGTATTGTGACGTGAGGACTAATTATAAGACGGTTGTTACACTGGCCTATAATGCCCACAAAATACAGGAATTCAATTACTTCCCTTGTTCTTTATTTTAATAAACATGCTATTAATTTCTTTAGAATATTTAAATTTTAGAGTTGAGCTAGGTAATTTGGGGGATTATTTTAATCCGATTTTTAAAAATGTATTCTTTTATTAAGGTATTTAGTTGATAGAAGTATAATTTATATACAAAACTGTACTCTTTTTTAGCATATATTTCAGTTTTGACAAAGGTGTACAACTATGTAACCACTACCCCAATCAAGACATAGAATGTTTTCAACATAAAGTTTCTTTATGCTCATTTCTAATCAATTCCCCCTTATTTCCAAAGACATCTGCTATTCTTATCTCTCTGACCATAGATTAGTTTTGCTTGTTGCTGAATTTGATACTCATGGAATCAATCATAAAATATGTATTGTTTTGTACCCAGGGTTTTTTGTTCAATGTGTTTTTTATATTCATCCATGTTGCTTTATGTAACAGTGGTTTGTTCCTTTTTATTGCTGCTTTCACTCATTTGGGTGGCTGGGGTAGGAGTAGGGTTAGGTGAGGGAAAGTAGGGGTAAGTTCCTTCTGACACTTTCTAAGATTTTTAAAGCAATTAATTTGAACTGCAGTAGCAAAAGGAAAGCTGTTATAGAAATGTCAGGCCAGTTAAGATTACTCACTTATTAACAACAGCAAAAACTCAGATACCAGCTTTAGGCACAAAAGAGAATATATTCCTGCAATTCTTAGTTTATCCCAATTTTATTTGATATCCTAACTCCTAATCATTAAGAATCAAGTCTCCTGAATCATAAATCATTAATCTTTGTTTCTAAATCATAAATCATTAATACTTGTCAACAAGCAGGACAATTTTTCTACTCTATTTTCTAACAAGTTATTAATTGTACATAATAAAGCTACTGTATTTTATTATATTTATATGCATCAACCACTGTACAGAATTCTATTAGACTTTTGGTTGATAGTCTTATGGCTCTTCTATCAGAAATAATATGGTCTACAAACAATGACAGACCTCTTTTTTAAAATAAGATCTTCTATTTCTTAGTTAAAATAAGGGAATTTTTACCGGAACTAAAACTGAATTTTATCTTTGTATACTAGCACAAAATACATTTATTGAGTAACTTTCCAAGATTTATGTCCTATATCAGATTACATGAATGAGCCACAGATGTTCTTTTTAAGACTGAAAATAATTTACCTATTTTGTTTTTTTAGGAAAAAAATCTCTTTCATTGAGTTTCAAATTTATTGGAAAAGCATAGTTAATTATCTCCTATATTTGTAAGTCATGTGTGGTGTTCTTTTTAAAAATCTTTTCCAAACAAAAACAAATTCCAGTTGTTATTTAGATAAATATTTTTATTGAAAATTGTTTCTATTTTTTAAAATCCTGATAGTCAGACATTTTATTCCCATTGGAATCAAAATATAAACTAAAATTTTTACATTTTTATATTTTATGGAGATTTTCTTTTCTCTAATA